GCAACTCCTACTCCGACTCCTACTCTTGCTCCTTCTCGTACTCCTACTCGTACTCTTTCCCCTACCCAACCCCAACTACTTCTACTCCTACTCCTACTCCTACTCCTACTCCTACTCCTACTACTCCTACTCCCAATCCTACTCTACTCCTACTCCTGTTGCTGCTACAACTATCGCCGCTACTGTCAGTTGCTGGTCCTGCTCCTGGTGTTGTCAGCAAACGTGGCAGTGATAAGTAGTGATCGGTCGAAGCAGCTAATGCTTCTATGGGCTGCCCAGAGCCCCGGGAGGATCCAACAAGTAGATCCCTTAATCAGGGTTCCTATAAAGTACCCTTAGTAGTATAGGGCCCCAAATTAGGGGATCTACTTTCTAGATCCTCCCGAGGGGTCTGGGTGCCCAGTTTGCTTCATGCATACGGCAGAATGTCATGCTGCCAGCTCCCGTCCTTCCAGCCATCCTCGGAGTCCGCTGGCCAGGAGGCGCTGGCTTCAGATGTGTGTTCGGAGGGTACAGCATGTTAAAGTTTAGGTAGAGGCCTGGGTGCAATGTAGGATTCAAAAGCCACTTCAGCTACTGTTTGGCAAGGGGTCTCGCCTGAACGAACTCTCCCCTCACCCTGTTGCAGAGGGCATGGCAGAGAGGTGACAGCTTCTGACCTAATGCCGAAGTTCCACATGACGAGTATTACCAGCAGTCATTCCTTCCTAGTGGCTGACCCATATAGGGACCTCTAGGGGGGCAAGGGGGCCTTAATGATTAATGCCCATAACAAGGACCTGACCCCCTCCGGTAACCCCTCTAAGGGCACCTATGACTGTCCCATAAGCCTCAGAATCGCCAGACGGGGCCTGGTTGACTTGCGAGGAAAATACAGGGCCCATACTTCCGCAATCACGTGTCCACACATGTTTGTGACCGTATGTGGACTTATGCACACATCGTCGACGTACAGAAGTGCGTGTTTATGCAGGTTCATTCATGCATGCGCCGATCTTATGCACGTTTCTGTTTTTCCTCTCTCTCTCTCTCTCTCTCTCTCTCTCTTTCTCTTTCTCTATACTGCCCTATCTACCCGAAACCCCTTGAACAATTCAAGCCCTGAATCACCAAAACCCAAGATAAAGTCGAAGTACAACTTGATGGGTGTAAACACCACCAGATGGGTAGAAACAACTTCGCTCTAGACCCTGAGCGCCTAGACCTTCCACTCCCAACAACCCTAGAAACATCTAGAAACCCTAAACCCCTCAACCCCTAAACCCCAAACCCTAGAAACATCTAGAACCCCTAAACCCCAAACCCCAAACCCCAGAAGCTTTAGGCCCTAAGGCGGGGGCCCTTCGTAAGCACAGACTCCTCCAGGCGGCACCGCGGCGCCGCGATGCCCAGCCTTGGGCCCAGGAGCTCCCAGGAACCCGGCAGAGTACACGCAGACATACACAATCACATGCACACATATGTATATGTATATATATATATATGTATATATATATGTGTGTGTGTATATATATATATATATACATATATTTGCATATATGTATATACATATACATATATATATATATGTATGTATTCAGATACTTCATGTACTACATGTACACAAGACATCTTTCGCGTTATGCTCTATTTCAGAATGCAGTATAAAGCATATAGCAGATACTACCGGGCCTATGATCTATGATATACGGTGCAGAACACTAAACCATACATTCGGGAGGTCTGCCAGAAGCCTGGAAACGTACAGTTTTCGGGTTTAGAGTTTAGGTGTAGGGTTTAGGGCTTTGTTTCAGGGCTTAGGGTTTAAGGTTTAGAGTTTAGGGCTTAGGGTTTAGGGTTCAGGGCTTCAGAGAGACCTCGTTCAAAAAGGGCTTCATTATGTAGGGTTGACTTCCATCCCTATTCGTGATTGCCAGTTAGGGTGCGTGATCATGTCTTGTCTCTGGGTTCTATTCTAGCTTTGTTTCGTGCAGCAGCAGTGCAGAGTTTCGCCCGTGAGCTGCAGGCGCGGGCACTCTTCGTGCACGGTGCTTTTTGAGTTTTTGCCCGCAGTTCCACGGCCAAACCTTCCAGCCCCGAAACCCCGAAGTCCCTAACCTCTCAGCTTCATCCCTGGCCTCAAACCCCGGAAGTTATTGTGATGCATTGCATATCTAGTCTGTGCTCACTGGAGTTTTGGGGGCATCAGGTGTGATGTGCGAATCAAGAACCAGCAAGAAATTCGTCTGCACGTATCCGACGCTAGACTGAACAGCCCCAAGCAAAAAGAGATCCGAACGTTCGGCCCTGAAGCCTATAAACCCTAAACTCCTAAACGCTATAAACCCTAAATCTTAAGTTTTGGGGTTTGGGGATTTTTTTCGTCTTGCAGGGCTCTTCCAGACCTTTGCCCTGAGGCCGCTTTGGTCCTGGGAGGAGCGACTTTGTGGGCAGTGCCAAGGTGACGGCAAGAGTATCCTCATGACCCCCAAATAAGACAAAGTCTAACTCATCAAATGTGAGAACCAAACAATTAGGCAACCACGCTATGAGGTTCCACACCCTCACCGGCTCATATGGGAGTTTCTGAAAAAGGGTACCCTTTTAAAGTACCTTAAATAGTACCTACTTTCTGAAACTTCCATATAAACAGTAAACATTCAAGAGAGCTAAACAAGTATGTGTATGCATCATGCATAGATGGATGGATGGATGAACTTTGAGTACCTGAAAGTATAGAATCCTATTAAGCAACCGACATGAAACCACAATCCTACATACACGCGAATGCAGGATTTACCCTAAGCCCAAATAGCGCAGGTTGCGGCTCCCGGCAGTTCCTAGTGGCCGCTTGCAAGGCCAGGGCAGGCTTAGGGTGTTTGCAGGGCTGTATAGGGTTTAGGAGTTTATAGCGGTTTTTAGTTTTTGACAACGGTAGCGTTTGGCATTATGCTCAGCATTTTGCGTTTGCCGTCACATGATCTTAACGCTAGCATGAGTTCAAAAAAAAAGCGCGTCCCGCAGGGTTTCTATTGTTACATTTCAATGGGGATTTGGGGTGTCCGGATTATCTTTTGGTTTAGGGTTTAGGGTCAAGCTTTGGGCTTTCGGGTTTAGGATCTAGGGAAGAGTCTGCTTGTGCTAGGTGAGGCAGGGTGGGTTGAACAAATAGAGCAGGGTTTGGGGTGTGCAAGAGCAAAACATGGAATTCTTCTGCCCTGTTGGCTGCGGACGCCACCTGGACCTACCAGGTTTCTACCTGTACATAGTGAACTGAGCAACGGACCGTGGCAAACAGGTTGTCATGGATGTAGGGTTCTGGGTACAGGGAGCTGGAGCGGCCGTTCTCGGCTGTCGTCGCCTGGTGAGTTTGACAAGATCGGAACTCGAAAGAGATCCGCAGTGCTGATCGGGGTGGAACTCTTATTCGCGCACGTTGTGAAAATTGTGGAAATCTCTCCGTCGTCATTTGTCGACGAGACAAGCCCACCTCGTACTTCGGGTCGGCTCTGGCGAGGACTGCAAGGCCCAGTACTGTGGCCTGGCTTGCTTGCGGGCGAGCTTGGTCGCTCACCAGCGAAGTTGCCCTGCACGAGGCTGGGACTGATTCGGGGCTTCGATGGAGACATTTCTGAAACATTCTGTTTTGTGGCATATGGATTTGTGGTCGTGCTGATGCAATTTGCAGTTAACCAGAACAGAGTGCTGCCACATCATTTGCACATGCCACCTCCTTGCTGATGAGCGTCGGAATGTACATACAAATGTATGTGCATATATACATATGTATGCCCATATGTATATACATATATATACACATATACATATACATATACATATACATATACATATACATATACATATACATATACATACATATATATATATATATATATGTATATTCATGTACACACACACACACACAGACGGAGTTTCCGAACCTTGCCTGCCAACGTAGCGGAAGTTGGAGCAGGCAACATCCCGCCAACGAGGAGGCGGCCTAAGACACCGGTCGTCGGGATGAGTTCCTGCAAAGGGTGCCCGAGAAAGCGATGACATCAGTTGAGCAATGTGTTTTTTTACATCTCTTTGCGACCAACTGGGCCGCAAGCCGCTCTACCAAGAAACCTCCATACCGTGATGCAAAGGTCAGCCTGGGACAAGAAGTTAAGCATTGGAAGGCTGATCACAGTTGGTCCTAGGTTTTGTCGTTTCATCGATAATCGACGTACCGGAGTCGTCCGCCTGTCTCCAGTTCTACAACGTCAGGTATAGTTTTGTGCTGACACTTCACTCGTATCGAAGACATGTCGTCTACTGCTTGGAAGCATCGTAGTTCACATCCGCGGCTGCTTGCACGGAATTCTGCTGAGCATCGAGATTCCGGCTCAGGATCCCGAATTTGCTGCAGGCGTTTCTGTTCCCAGTGCTGTGCTCTCCCCTTACAGAGTGCCAGAACCCAGAGTCCAAGGCCTCAACGTCATGGGACCAGGAAGTCGTAGAGCCAAGGGCGAGAGGAGCTTGCTGCTTACTTGAAAAGCCAGCCGTTCCCCCAGTTTCTGGGAGCCGGGAGTTCTGTGTCGAAGACACATGTCTTCGGAAGAGCGACGGCAAAACAAATCCATACAGCGAGACACTTCTCCGTTGTGAGACCCGTGCTTGCGGATGTAGGATTGGGTGACTCGCTTCGCCTGTGCTCTGGACAGCATTGGATTCCACCTGCCTTTGTTTCCTCGCAGTGCCTCAGCCTCAGCTTCGACCCTCAGACATCAGGCCACCAGCTTTTCATCGATCACGTCTGCCCCTCTCCCATCCCCCAACACCACAAGCCATGCTGCCGGGAGCGTGCGGGCGACAGCCAGCCCGCCATCCAATTGCTAGCTCCTGAAGACTTAAAGTGGAAAAACCTACAAACATACATAGATATATACACGCGCAGGCATATGCAAGAGTATATATATATATATATATATATATATTTGTATATATACACATTCATTGCAGCCCTTCCAAGCCGTGCCATGTGCCATGCTGCATGGCTGTCGGAGCCGGCACCGCCCCAAAAGGTGGCTTTTGTCAAGGACCGCCGTTCACCCTAAACCTTCCACCCTAAACGCAAGTGTGCGAGTCGAAACCCTACACCCTAAACCTGAAACCCTACCAGCCAAGTAGGAGGGGAAAAAAAACCTGAAACCCTAAACCTAAAGCCTTAAACCCTAAACCTGATAGAAGCCTTAGAGCCCTGAACGGTGAGACGAAGCTCGCCTTGCTTGGTGCAATTTTGTCTTGCGAGGGTCCTTGACGAGGTTCACTATTGTGTATATATATATATATATATATATATATATATATATTTTTTTTTTTAACTATATATTTCCAAGTCATATCTCGTAGGGGTCCTTATCATAACGGGGCTCGGTTTGTGAAGTCGTACAGACCCTCCCAACTCGGTTTACCCTTGCATGACAGATGCTCTATAACTTCTGCGGCGACGTTTGACATTGTTGTTGCGTTGCGGCTGTCATTGTATTCATGCGCCCTTATTCCTTGTTTTTGCAGTTGTTGTAAGAAGATCTACTATTCTCAGTTAGTTTAACATTGCTACGAATTGCATCAATTTGCTGATGATTCCTGACATGGTGTCATGCGCCGATGAGCCGTTGACCCAGCATGGGCAGGTGAGCATCAAGCAGGCGACGCGATCGATTGCACGTCACGGGCGACGGCCCTAGCCGAGGGAAGGGTGTCAAGCTCCAGGGTTTAGGATGCAGGCTTTCTTGGGTTGTGAAGGGCTGACATGTCCTTTCCCTGGTGTCATCCGCTTCTCTTTGTTCTTCCACTTCTTCTGCTGTGCCCGCCGTGCTTTCCCCACAGCTGAATTACCATGCAATTCCAGGATGCTCATGGAGCCTCTGAGGCGTCAGGGCCTGTGGACAAACGTCTTGGCTGAGCTTGAGATCCTGCGTGGGGAGCCTGGCAAGCTTGACTGTCAATGCCACGTGTTGCCGCACGGCAGGGCTTGATGAAAGGAAGTACTGATCTGCATATATCTGCATAAGTTTTTTTTACCAAATGGTGGCCAGATATAAGCATGACCCAGGCTCGTCTGATTCTGAAATGTCACAACGAGTACAGCTGAAATCATCCGCTCGAAAGAATATTTCCACAAGAAAGGAAGCCTTCTGCAGCTCCTTAGTCTATGTGGTCTACATGTGGGAGTTTCCGAAAATTAGGGGCACCTTACTTGGGGGATCCTACTATTTAGGGTACCAGATTTGGGTCGTCCCCTATTGTCGGAACTCCCCATATAATGGGCAATAGATGCGAAATTGCGAGCGGAGGTCGAAGCGGCCTGTTGCTGGATGCCGTGGTCAGCCTGTGCGAGCTTTGCCGGGTGGTGTTTGGTAGACTCCGCTTTTCGGTGGAGGGGTTGGTAGCCTCGCTGGTAAGTCCCACTCTGGTGTCAAGCACGCACCAGCGCCCTTGCGCCGACATGCGAAATGCCTGGAACCAGCAGACACTGACAGCTGCGAACTTTTGCTGGGCCCTTGCTTTATGCCCTTTTCGCCAGGCGAGTAATGCATGTGTTGGTGGGCTGGTGGCCCGGACAACTCCACGGATCTATGTAGACCCCCATGCCACTGCAGAGTTCCCCGGTTCCTCGAGCTCTTGAGTGTCTTTTCATGATTGGGTGTTCGCATCAGAGAACCCCGGATGTCTAGACTTCCTCGCTCTGAGGTGTGCCCGCAGTTGGAGGAAAGCAGTGTGGGCCTCGTTCTCTTAACATAATACGTAGAGGAGCCTGAAGAAGTAGCAATAACTTGCGCTTATTATTGTTGTCCTCAGAAAAATCATTCGCCCATGACAAGCAAAAAACCGTTCTAATGATTTCGGGCCCGCAATTGCCCGACCTTACCGGAGTGGCACATCCAAGGCCGTGCTGTTGGAGCAGGCATCGAACGACCAACTGCGCAGAGATGTGCGATCCTAAGTTTGTCAGGCAGTTCCGATGGGTCTAGATCTCGAACTTGCGAAAAGAGCATTCTACTTCTTGGAGGCGGAAGAGATTGCATGTCCATCAGTTTCATCCAGACCTGTACCTGCAACCATCTTCGATGTCGAGCGGTCACCCCGAAGCCCGAACCACACCTCGTCCTGAGGCCTTTAGCATGTCTGCCCTTGTGAAAGGTCTTCGCGAAGGACCGGCAGCTATTTTGTTTATTAGGGGCGCGCCAGATTCAAGCTCGGATTGACAACTGAGTGCGTTCTTTGACCTGGTTGAGCGCCGTAAGTCTACTGCTCCTATTCCTACACATGATGACAGTTGGGACACAAAATTGTTTGGAAAAGTTTCCTTGAAGGGTCTCGATCTCCATAACTCAAGGTGGCATAACAATTCGACAGGGGTTTGCAGCTGCTTTTGTTCAAGATCCTGCCACAAGAACGTGTGTCGGCGCCATGATGCTTAAAAGCTTGCGAGCAGCGGTTCAGGTCAGCTGCAAGCCATCGGCCCCACACTTGCCAAGTATCTGCTGCGGTAGCCCTCTGTCCCCAGATCTGAATCTCCTTGCTGAGCCTCGTTCCCAGTCTGCCCCACCTTAAATCCCGGCAGCTTTTGCCCCTGTGGTGCGACTCTTGCAGCACGCAAGACAGCAGTCCCAACTTGGCTCCTCACATGGCGGGGCGCGCAGAGCGCCAGCGGCACCGTCGAGAGGAAGCTACAGGTGTCCAAGGGTCGTGCGAAGGCTTAGGGCTCAGTTTGATAGAACCGGACCTGTTCAAAAAAAAGCTCTGAGAAGAAACGAGAGCCCTATCTATAGTGGCCACTGAGTAATTTACGTATATCCTTGCTGGCGTAGTAGAAGAAGACCTACACACCCACAGGTCCAAAATAAGGAGTTTAGGCTTGCTGAATAGGCAAGCCCCTGCTACGGGCAGTAGTGAGCGGCACCAGCATTCGGTATGTCGAGCTTCCGTACTGGCAGATAAGCATTCCGATGGTACGAGTTTAGGCATGACAGAAGTTGCAATGTTAGAGCCTGCGGAGCGACTTTTCCGGGCTTGGCCTGCTTGCCCCCAATGGACTGCGAGGGGTCGACCTCTACCCATGTGCTGTAGCACACCACACATACATCGGCAGCTAGAAGTTGTGTGGTACTTTGTCTAAGCCTGTACCTTCTACCATAGATTCCCGTCGACAGTCGCATTTTCAAGCGCCCTGGGACAACCGTGCAGGACAGGATCATTACACAGTCGTGGTGGGTAGCGGCCCACACTCTACGAGGCCAAGTTTCCAAGAGTGCCTTCCCGACTTCAGGAGTAGTTGTCAGCTTCTTTGACCATTCGAGCTCACCCTTGCTTGCAGATAGGTGTTATTAGGTGTTCACAAGAGCGAGTACTGCATGAATAACGTATCCGATGAAGGCTGAACATCAGCGTCGTGGCTGGGAGTAATGTCGCTATGTTGCGACAGGCTATAGCAGAAAGCTTGCAAGAGCTAGATGGTACGAAGTACTTCAACCTTTCAAACGATCCTGGCCGTGTGCAAGTCGCAGTTCATGCCAATATGTGGCTCCACTCCTGGACCATTATTCCACCTGAGTGCCGTCATAAAGTGCATGCTGCCATTTGTGAAAAAGGCTGGACTGACTTGATTCAGAATGACAGCAGCATTCTCGATACCTTCAACCAGCTTTCCGAAAGGATCGTCAACGACACGTACGACGAGAGGTGGAAGCAAACGCCAGAGTTCTTTGATTTGCTTTGCCTGGTTGAAGCGCTGAGAACCGGCTACAACCCAATGCCCGAAGTTACCCGTGGATCACGTCCGGCTGAGCTGCCGGAGAAAGGCGAGGAGTTGGAGGAAATTTTGGACGAAGTGGACCGGGCCCTGAAGAAGCCAGGTGCCACTGTTCGAACCGTTTATGAAGCCCTCTGGAATGATTATTATGAATGACCAAGCTTCGTCAATCGCGGCGCCGCCCCGATCCCGAAGCCATTGTGTGAAAAGCCGCGAAGGGTGTTTGGCATGGGCTTGGGAGGTTTACCAGTAGCATATGGTAGCATCGAGATATCTCTTTCGGAAAAATAGGCCCCTGTTGCTGATCCTTCTTGAGACTGGTGGCAATATCGAGGTTTCGACTCCCGGAGTTGCGAGGGTAGGCGGGCTTTCTGCACCACATGGCATAGGGCCTGCGCTTTGGGGCCATGGTGAGTCCGTCTTTCCAAGTTCTTATCTTCAAAATGGAATGTAGTAGAACGCCAGACGTCCACCATGTCAGAGATGACTCATGGCTTGCACATTCGTCTGTGTTCCCAGAACATAAGATGCAACACTACAGTGGCGGTAGGCTTGCTGTAGAGCAAAGCATGACGGAGGGGCGCATGCTAGTATGTAACTGTCGAAAAAGCCCTGGGATTATCAATTGATTGTGGATATCGATGCCCATTAGATCAAGCTTACTATGTTCCATCTGGTTGGTCAGCTAGGTTCTGCTACGTCACAAGATCGCAGGACATGCTGATAGTTACGGGGATCTGAAGAACTGGCAATGTCTGGTTTCCCTGCAGCGTTCAGTCAAGTTGGCACACAGACCCTTGAGGTGCAACCCCGATCTTTAGTCGAGCAATTTGTTAGCTGCTCGCTTGGGTCAGGAGATGGCTGGGCTGCGGACTTAGTGCGGGATCATCACTGAGTCTTGTGGGGCCTTCCACAAAAGATATGCAGACTTCGTTATGATCCGCCCTCGGGGACCTCTACCCTGAGACCGAAGGGAACCTGAAGCCATGCCTGCCTGTGAGCGAGTGTGTGAGTCGAAAGGGAAGTGACCGCATTTCTGTGTCCGCTTCCTCCTTGGCACTCTATCTCCGCTCATTGGGGGTCTAGGCGTCTTTAGTTTGTGCGTGTTTCGGCTACGGGATGAACCTGCTGTGATGTGTGTTTTACTCCAGCTTCTCGTCGTCTGGAGTGTCCGAGTGACGTTCGCCTCCGAAGTCGCGTCTTTCGCTGCGGCTCCTTGCTCAAAGCATGTTTTGGGGATCCACAACTTGGAGCTTGTAGAGTGAAGTCCCCCCCCACCTCGCGCCTCCAGAGTTCCATTCAGGCTGTTGCCTGCGAGTCCTTGGTGCAGGCAGCTGCATGAGCATGCGGCATGCGCTCCACGTTGTAGACTTGCCACATGGGAGCTCGGAAGAACCGGCCTGACTTTTGTGGTGATGCTTAGCAGATGTTGGAAGGCGCTTCCTATACTTTTTGCAGTGCCCTGTCGGAGGCTGGCTCTGCCGCAATCTCCAAGGCATGGTCTTATCATGCAGCTGACTTTTACACCAGTACGATTCCGAAAACGGGCAGGGGCTAGGGTAGATCGCTTGCAAGACTTGCGAGGTGAACCCCTGCTAGTGATTCCGCTAGTCCGTCTTCCTTTCAGGATTACTCTGACCTACAGAACTCTCGGTATCGAGGCCCATCTGGATACTGATATCACTATCTCCGTTGTGGTCAGCCTCACTAAGTCACTATGCAACTATGCGTCTTCTTCCCGTCCTCACGATCACCAGATCGAACGTAACGCCATGTAACGCCTGACCGCGTGCTCGAAACTCCAGACCGCCCCAGGTCGTGAGCTTCCTTTAGAGTGTAGGGCTGGTACTTGCCGGAATCCGTGCCTACTTCGTGCGAGTGTGCGAGTCGAAACCCTTGCGAAGCAGCAGGCAAAAAATACGCTAAACCCCAAAGCAACCCTACACCCACAAATAACAACCCGTGACATTTTCCTACCGAGGGGTCAAAAACCCATGTCATGGGAGCAAGGACGGCGTTCTGGTGGCCGACGTGCTTTCCACCCTTAGTCCCCAGGGGCGCAGCGGACTCGGGTTCCTTCCGTCTGAAGTCATCAGTAGCATTGACAATAATAAGATAAGCACTAGTTACTGGCACATGACGCATACTGTGCTTGTCAGCTTCCCCACCCTGAAGAACTCAGAGGTGGATGGTTGATGTGGTTTGCCGACATGCAGTAGTCATCTTGGTTGGCGACTCCCAGCTGATGCACGGTCCGAGCCTGGCTTCAAGAAGGGAGATGTGCCTCATCGCCGACGAAGCTCAAGCAAGAACGAGAACAGGAGAATAGCCCACAAGAGCCATGCGTGGTCGCGTACATGCAGGCATAACTAAGAGAAGGCTTCAGCGCAGTGGCTAACCTTCATCTGAATCAAATTAGCTGATGGCGATCCCTCCCATGCGCTTGCGATGTCCGCGAGATCCGAGTCGATTGCTAAGTTAAGGCGATATGCCCATCACTGCACAATGTGCAACACAAAGTATTAGTGTAATGTTTGGGACGAGGGAGAAGAACAGAGCCGGAGGAAGAAAAACCAACATCCCCGCATCTCCAAGAAGCACAGCTTCAAACAGCCCCAAACAGTTCAAGTTGGAACGCCTGGGCATGGCGACGTCAGCCACCCTCGCCGTTCTGGCACGCCGCAGGCACATTCGGGCTAGCTGGCTGACCAACTTAGTATCTCGCATCGGCAACCTGCAGCTGGCGAGGGTAGTTAGCAGCTGTGGCAGCTAGTATGTCGCTCTGGGTTCGCTTCCCTCTCGTCGCTGTATGTCGCTGTAGTTGTCGTCGGTGAGTCCTTTGTGCGAAGCCGCTATAGGAAAGGCGCACATGGTGAAGACTCATGAAGTAAATATATTTAAATAGTATAATGAGTAGAGCATGCACCGGCCCCGTGCAAACGGAGCGGTGCGTCGTCGTGAGCAATGTACACAGATGCGCAGACGACCATAGGCTCATGGAGAGAGACTCACTGACTGCCGTCACGCTGTCAGCCTGCGGCTGGCCCCACTGCTGCTGGGGATTCTTGCTGCCGAGCTTTGGCGCTGGTTGTGGAGGCGCTGGTCGCGAAGGTGGGCGCTGTGTTTCCAGAGTTCTTTGCATGTGGTGCTTTCGTTGAGGACGACCAGTCGTCATGTGTGGTACCTCTAGGTTTCAAGCCTCGAGTTAAATACACCCCAGCGACGCAACATGGGGTGCGGCCGGGTGCGGGGTCACAGTCATCGTCCTGAACCATCAAGGCCTCAACCGGGATCCGGGATCCGTAAACTGGCACAGCCACGGCCGAGAGCTGCGGCCCCCACACTCCTTATGCACGGGAGCACATCCGTAGGGCCCCACTGCATCCCTGGAAGAGATCAGCAGAGAACACCAAGTGGCAAGCCGAAAGGAAATGCAAATGTGGAAGCGCATCTGCCCTTCAAGTGACACAATCGGCTTTTTGTGAACCATCGACTGCATGTGCACGCACCTTGTTTGAAAGAAGCCAGAAGCTGTCCAAGTCATTGTGTTGCAGCTACGGGCCGTTGATCCAATAACTCGCGCTTTTTCCAAAGCATAGTATCGGCGGAGAAGGCTTGCACTCGCCACCACAACCGTTGAATGACGACACCAGCAGGCATGACAGTTTAAGTTTCAATGGTTCCAACAGTGATGATGTTCTGATGCCACCGCAAGAAGTACTTGCATGACGTGGCATTAGTAATAGCCTGAGGAGAATGTGCAGACCTCGATTTTGACGGCTGCTAGTCATGATGCTGTCAGTGAGCTCTTCCCTTTACCATCATTGCTATCATGGGTTGTGGTCTTCTTCTTGGCTCTTGCCTTGGAGGTCGCTCAGCAGGCCCTTGGCGATCAAGGAGACCAAGGGAGTCCACCGGCGGCCAGGCGGAGTCCCTGCACCAACGGGAGGATTTGCATCATCATCACCAACACCCTAAAGATATATAATATTTAATAAAATTGAAAAATCGCCAAGATTAAATGGGAAGTGGTGGTAGGTAGCGTTGTCATGTCGCCGCACTTTTTTGGACACGAAGGAAAGCAAGAAGTCCGGAGTCCGGAAAGAGTCTGGTGTGTGTCATGACTTGACATCTCCTTGCCTCCCAGAAAGGTGTAGATGATGACCTCCGCTTCCAGCAGATCGAGGATGATCCGCGTGATCTGCCTGGTGCTGCAGTTGGCAAGGCAGGGGGCACGCGTCGTGGTACTCGTCGCACTAGTTCGGATGCTTTGGTGATTCTGGTGTGCGTTGCTCTTCTTGTCCTGCATGGAGCTCCTTCTGCGACGCTACATCATTTGCATGTTCGGCAGAGTGCCGCTGAAAGGCACAGCTTGGTGCAAGAGGCATCCAAGTTTCTGGAGGCATAAACACCGCGTCTTGGACTTCACAGGGCGGCGGAACAGCGCAACGGATCCTGATCCACAAGACGGTTTGAAACAGACACGACATGCTTGCTGCATGAAGTAAGGTCTCCTTGGATCCGGCATCGACGTTTGTGGAGCACCTTGCTTGCAGGAACAGCGGACGTGGAGATCGAAACATCAATAAAGCACCAGCAGCGAAGCAAAACTGTTGTGACGACAGTCACACTTATCAGTCGCTAGGATGGCAGTGTTGACAGGATCAGCTCGACGTATTGAATGAAATCATGCTGGACGAACCCTTGCAGTCTTGCAGTACCAGTGACCACCGTTGTGGGACTAGTTGTTATTACAATGGTGGTGGAGCAGTAGGAGTAGGAGCAGGAGTAGGAGTAGGAGTACGAGTGGCAGTAAGAGTAGACAAAGGAGGAGGAGTAGCAGCAGGAGTGGCAATAGTGGCAGGAGCAGTACAAGCAGCAGTAGTAGTAGTAGTAGTAGTAGTAGTAGTAGTAGCAGTAGCATGAGCAGTAGCAGTAGTGGTAGTAGTGGTAGTCGTAGTCGGAGTAAAAGGAGTGGAAGGAGTAGAAGCAGTAGAAGGAGTAGACGGAGTAGAAGGAGTAGGAGTCGGAGTAGCAGTAGGAGTAGGGGCGGTAGCAGTGGTGGTAGTAGCAGCAGCAGCAGCTGCAGCAGCGGCAGTGGAAGTTGTCGTCTCGCTAGCAGCTTGTGATTGTGCTTGCTGTTGTTGCTGCTGTTGCTGTTATCTTGCCGTTGCTGCCGCTGCTGCTGCTGCTGCTGCTGCTGCTGCTGCTTCAGTTGTGGTTGTTGGTTTCGCGTTTTTGCCGCGCATAAAATGCAGCAGTGGCAGCACAGGTTCCACAAGCATTTGCAGTTGATCCTGCTGCCGTTAGCCATCACGATCATAATTGTCATGCGTATGTACCGACACTGTCCAGAGTCCAGGTCACGATAGATCCTTGGATACTCATAAGAGCTGCCCAGTACAGCCGAGGCCCGGTTTACGATGCATCTGTAGCGTGGAGAGCGACGTGTATTCGGGTACAATCTGTCCTGAAGATCTCGTTGTGGCACCGGATTTCTTCGGGAATGCCTCGGACACTCAGATGTACGACGCCCGTCGGCACTGCGAAGGCCTTGTTATGCTTTTCATGCTTCCTTCCACCCCCCTGGCAAGCCCTAAAACCCTCTGAGCACTTCGAGGACAAGCTCTTGGGCGAGACGCAAGAGATGACTCGCTCTTCACTGATGGCTCGTATTCAGGAGCACCTTCTCTGAACAAAGCTGTCCGAACCCGACAGCCATCAGAAGCCACGCAGTGGGACACGTTGGGAGTCCAACCGAGTGCCTGCGGCCGGGGTTCACGCGAGGAAGCGTGGCCTGCTATGCCTTATATAAATGCTTAAGCCCGTGGAAGGAAGGTAGGAGGGAAGGAAGGGAAATAAGGAAGGACGGATTAGAGGGAGCACGAAGACTGACAGAAGAAGCGAAGTAAAGAAAGACAGAAGCACGTGAAGACCGAGCATGAGAGGGAGAGAGAGCGTGCGTGAGAGATGCAAAGTTTATGAAGGACAGGAAGAGAGACAGAGCCGGAAGCACGAAGCCCAACCAAGAGCCCAACGCCCGCCAAACGCCCGCCAACACCCCCCAAAGGATGTACGTCTCCTTGGCTCCTACTGATACAGGAAGTCGTCGGCTGAATTGGTACTTAAATACATCCCCTGATAGTTTTTGAAGCCGTTTATTTTGTCACCATATACCCCAAATTCCCATATTCTGCTTAATAAAGCCCTACCGGCCCTACCTTATGCAAAACACTATAGGATAAAGCCATTATAAAATGTAAAGCCTTTGAGACCCCTTGTTCTTAGAAGTAACCCTGAAAATATAGTTTCAGACCTGGTCTCAGGTGGGAGTTTCCGAAAATAGGGGACCCTCATATAATACCCTAAATAGTGGGATCCTCATTATAAGGATCCCAGAAGAAGGTACCCCTATTCTCGGAAACTCCCAGGTATTTCCGGCTCGATCGCGAAAGCTGCGTTAGCTGCCTCACCTGGCATCAGCAGACTGGCGAGCCGGCGTTGAATCTGGGACACGAAGTGAGTTACTCTCGGGGCCGAAATACTTACCTGTACTACCTGGGGTGGGGGCGGGTCCTTATTATGAATAACGTATAATGGGCCGCAAAATTAAGTATTGAGGCCCCCAACGTACCAATTTCGAGAGGAAGGATGGGGGTTCTTTCTGGGATTGGCATTCGTTGACAGGCTGCGGTGATTGCAGTATGAATGTCTTGGTTTCCAATTGCTTCGCAGGGCAGCGGTGCGTGGCAGCGACGATCCCCCTCGAGTATTTCTTATTTCGGATTTAGAGTAAAGCAGAGTGAGGACAGTCAAAGATCCGGACTTCGATGCGACAGAGGGCTCCGGCAAGTTCGAAGCCGTGGCGTTGCTTGGCGCAAGGGACACTGGAGATGTAAAAAGGAAAGTTGATCTTCGCGTGAGGCGTGGGGGGAACGAAAGTGATGCGGGGACCGAGAGATGAGTAACATAAGGCGCATTGTGTAGACAGGCCCGCTCCCCGCCGCATTATCGATACTACCCAGTCAGCATATCCTATAGAGTGTTCATTGGGTTACG